AAAAAAAATTCTTACTGACCCCAAACTTTTGACCGGTAGTGTATATATAACTTCCACTGTTTTTTTCCCACTTGGATTTAGTAATATATTAATATAGAACATTTAATTTGAATATATTTGCACTGATATAACATTATACTGTAACAAACAGCAATATTTACCCGTATATCTCAAAAACATTTAAATATATGAAGAATGCAATATAGTTTTAAATCGGTCTCAGAGAACTCAAATAAATGAACAGAACTTACTACATCTAACACTATTTTAGCTTTAAATACAGGCAGTTCTACTTATATTAAAGGGGTCATATGATGCGATTTCATTTTTTCCTTTCTCTTTGGAGTGTTACAAGCTCTTGGTGCATAAAGAAGATCTGTAAAGTTGCAAAGACTAAAGTCTCAAATCCAAAGAGATATTCTTTATAAAAGTTAAGAGTTAACCACACCTACCTAAAACGGCTCGTTCTAACACGCCCCCACATGTCTACGTCGCTATGTGGGAAGATTTGCATAACGCAGCCCAAATGTTCACGCAAAGAAAGAAGACGTAACTTTTATTCTCGCTGTTGATTTCATTCTCCCGCATGTCCAGCCGGAGGATCCTCGGACTCTCAGCGATGAATTCAGCGATAGCGACCGCTCCTATCATACGAACAAACACACCGATAATATGAGCTTCACATAAGCTGAGCCCAAAATTCAGCATCAAATTCATTATGTTTATATGTACAGTAACTTCACGCTTCATTTCAGATCTGACCTTCACAGGAGAGTTTGGTGGAGGCCAGACCCAGCCTGAGGATGGACCGGTTTGCTATGAGTCCGTCTTTTAGTTTGTGCACTCCTTCGTTCCCCACTGCGTTATGGCCCAGGTTCAGTGTTTCCAAGCTCTGAGTGAACGGCTACAGCAACAGAGAGCAAAAGAGAAGAAGAAACTGAAAGTGCGTTAACTCCATCAAAGACAAGCAGTGTGTTTATGATTATTCTGAAAAGGGATCTGACCGTCTTTTTCTGTGAGGGGTGTGAATACAAGCGCAGACGATGCTTTAAACCACAGAGCCTGTTTTGAAGACCAGCACAGACTGCAGTGCATTACACACAAGACTGTGAGAATGTGTGTGTGTGCGTTTTGTCCTTAATTAACAAAAAGGTGGCAGGACACACGTAAACACGAGCGTTGCACTGTCAGCAGCTGGCAGACACACACAGCATCCTCTCAATCTCCATAATGACCATCTGACTGAATGGGGCCGAGCTCTCGTCTTCATCTCATGCGCTCATGCTCTGTATTTTGGGCCATTACACAAAGAGGCATAAGAGGCTACTGTTTTGTTGTATGTACACCACCGTTCACTATGAACGGTCTTTTGCTTGATCAAAAATACAGTAAAACCGTACAATATTATTATAATTTGTAGTAACTGTTTTCTATGTGAATATCTGTTAAAATGTAATTTATTCCTGTGATGCACAGCTGAATTTTCAGCATCATTACTCCAGTCTTCAGTGTCACATGATCTTCAGAAATCATTCTAATATGCTGCTTTGCTGCTCAAGAAACATTTCTGATTATCATCAGTTGTGCTGCTTTATATTTTTTGTGGAAACAGTGATACACTACCATTAAAAAGTTTGCCAAGTAAGAGTTTTTTTTTATTTATTATTCAGCAAGGACACATTAAATTAATCAAATGTCACAGTAAATACATTTATAATGTCACAGAAAGTTTTCTATTCAAGTGTGAATATTCACAATAAAAAGATTTCAAGTCAAAATAATTCTTAATATGGACCAAACGTTACATTTTCTTCTGTCCTGTTGGTTGATTTTTGTATTCTGTTCACCAAAAAACATTTATGATAGAGGCAGAGATGCTGATATAGTAGGTGTATCTAACTTGCAGCACTATATACAACAGTACAAATACAACATTATATTTTTTGTGGAAACAGTGATACACTACCATTAAAAAGTTTGCCAAGTAAGAGTTTTTTTTTATTTATTATTCAGCAAGGACACATTAAATTAATCAAATGTCACAGTAAATACATTTATAATGTCACAGAAAGTTTTCTATTCAAGTGTGAATATTCACAATAAAAAGATTTCAAGTCAAAATAATTCTTAATATGGACCAAACGTTACATTTTCTTCTGTCCTGTTGGTTGATTTTTGTATTCTGTTCACCAAAAAACATTTATGATAGAGGCAGAGATGCTGATATAGTAGGTGTATCTAACTTGCAGCACTATATACAACAGTACAAATACAACAGTAAAAATATATATAAAATATAAATATAAAAAAAAAAAATTCAACAATTATTTTCTTTCAAAAATTGCTTGTGAATGGGCAATTTGGAAAAATAACCAGAATAGTTGAATCGTCCAAATAATCATCAGATTAGTCTTTTATTAAAAAATAATGGTTAGATACAGCCCTATTATGACCTATTTTTTTTTTTGTTAATTCTCATTAAAATGACAACATTATTTTAATACAACATATAGTTAATACAACATTACTACAATTTTTGTCTTAGTAAATGATCAGTTTATTTTCAAGCATTTAAGCATATATTATATTTATGCTATGTAACTTCCTTGTTGCATAATTACTTTAGTAACAACAGTAAATTATGCATTATTGCGTGCAACTAACCCTAAAACAAACCCTAATGTCATTAATTAATATTACTTAGTACTAGGGGTGGGAATCACCAGAGGCCTCACGATACGATATTATCACGATACTTGTGTCACGATACAATATTATTGCGATTTTAAATATATTGCGATATATTGCAATTTATTACCTTTTTCCAACTTCAAATAATGCCCCCAAAGGAAAACTTTGACAACATCTGTTTTAACTAAAAAGAAACATTTCTCAGTTTGTTTATCTCACTGCAGTGCAAAATGGGATTGTCAAGCAGACAAACTGACCAACACTTTCATGAAAACCTGTCATAAATGTTGTATGCACCTGGCAAACTCAACTATTTGTATTACAGTCTAATCTAGTCCACCTTAATTAAATGTAAACAGGTATGCACACTGCTGTGCTACTACAGGTATTTTGAACAGTGCAACTTGAAATTGTACTAAAAAGTTGTGCAGACCCTTCAGCAATAGGGGCATTTGAAAGTTACTGTTCAATTTAAATAAAATAAAATAAAATAAAACATGTAGTCTTACATCAAGGGATGCACCGAAATGAAAATTCTGGGCCGAAACGGAAACCGTAAATTCTGGATGCACTTGGCCGAAAACCGAAACCGAAAATGCTTTGGACGCACATTCATAGATCGGAACATTGAGCGGAGCGTCAAACCGCGCAGTGACGAGGAGAGTGAAATATGCGCGCTGAACACTATTATTATTATTATATGTAGCATATATTTTCGGTGCATCCCTGCATGCTAAAGGTGACCCAGCTGACCTCACCAGAAAAAAACTCAACACCACCATCTAGTGGATTGTAAAGAAATTGATTTTATTATTCTACCAAATAGTATAATAAAAGATCGATACTTGGCGTCCGTGTATCGATACAGTATTGCCGCGGAAAATATCGCGATACTATGCTGTATCGATTTTTTCCCCCACCCCCACTTAGTACTTGATCGCATAATTACACTGTAACAGCGACACATTAAAATGAAGTGTAACCCCTATTTCTTTCAGGTTTACACACTTGTTACAAACGAATTTGCGTCAAATAGTTGGTGTGAATAGTTCTGGGACTAAATCCGTTGCTCTTGGTTTGAATAAGACCTAAAGATGTGGATTTGCTCATGGAAACTTTTGTGACACGTGTGTGTGTGTGTGTGTGTGTGTGTGTGTTTACCAAAGCGGCAGCCAGGTATCCCATGCCATTGTGTGTGAGCTGGTTGTTCCAGAGCACCAGAGTGACCAAACCCTTCCTCTGCTCCTTCAGACCCTCACATATATACGCCAACCCTGAGGAAACGAGCAAAAGCAAATACAGCGGGTTGAACGACGAGTCCAAACACTACTGAAGTAATCATGGTACATATGTAAAATATATATTTTATAAATTAATTAATTATGATAAAAGTTTAATAAATTAAATTAATTGTTCTTTCAAGGTAACATGTCTATATGGTAATATTCAAAAAAATGTGAGAGAATGATTAGTTGTGGGTTTTTAGTTTCATCCTGGACGGAGCTCCAGACTGTCCCATATGATGTTGTAAGTGCTGAGAATTAGTGTGCGTGTCTATACATGTGCACATGTCAATGTATATACTTTATGTGAGTCTCAAGAGAAAACATGGTTTTGTTTCCAGCATCTTTACACTAGAGATTTACACTATGCTTTAAGCAGTCACACGGTGATCTCAGACAAGCCGAGACAAAACATTCTAGAGAGAGAGCGAGAGAGAGAGAGTGCATCTAATGCTAGTGATGGGACAGGAAAAGGAAGAAACAGACATACAGGCAAAAAGCAACACACACACACACACACACACACACACACACACACAAAATGCACTACAATCAAACTCACTCACTGTCATCTGCTTTCATTTCCTGTGCAGGTCAGTAATCTGATATTAAACCATCCAAAGACATCCTCTCACACACACACCACACCAGGATGAAACTGTGCTGATCTCAACATAATTACATGCAAGTAACCCTAACCATATAGTAAGTACATGTAGTTAGTACTTAAATGTATTACACTGTAACAAGGACACCTTAAAATAAAGGGTAACCATTTCAATTTATTTCAATGTCAGAGTACTTCTTATTCCTTCTTAAAGAGGCTGTTTGATTTAGTTTACCTATAAATGTTAATTAATGCATTAACTATTAAACATGTACTAACAAGGCTGCCGTTATTCATGCGTGAATCCATATTAGGGCTGCTCTTCATTAGTTCATGATTAGTTAACACCTTTAATAATCATTAGTACATGACGAATTAAGCATTAATTTAGGTATTAGTACATGATTATTCATGTACCCTTATAGTAAAGTGTTACCCAAATTTGCTTCAGTCTAGTAAGTGTCATTTTGAATTATTACAAACAAGTTACTCTTGCGTTTAAAGCATAAAAATCACAGCATAAACAAGCTAAAGGTGGACGTTTGTACAATTATATTAAAATTCCTTTTACTTGCTAAAAACTATAAAATGTCAATCAGGCATGGAGTAGATAAACATGTTTATCAGCAAAATTGATAATGTTGATCATTTAAAGTGCCCCTATTATGGATTTTTGAAAATTACCTTTCATGCAGCACAGCTCTAAGTGAATGAAAACATCCTGCCGATGCACTACAATCAAACACACAGATAAAATGACAGTCAAGTGACAAACATCACACAGCTATTTTAGATAACTTGATAGAGCTTGTGTAAACAAAAATCTACTGAAATATTAAATATTTTACATGAAAAATTCTCCACACATCATAACCGTTTACGTAAATTTGTTTCCAAACAATAATCAATTATAATGTATAGACATATATATATATATATATATATATAGTCTATTTTTTTCTTAAAAATCTTCCTTACCATGTATTAGATGTATTAGATTCCTCTCCTGCCACAAAACCTGATCAAAAACCGTTCCTCAAGCTTAACGGTTTGACCTAAAAATATAAATTCGCATTTGAATGTTGAATCAAGACAGGATGATGTGTAGTGAAAGCTGAACTGACTAACATAAACACTTAAAAGGCCTGGTTTATCTGCAGACTATCTGGCGACGAATTAAGCATTAATTTAGGTATTAGTACATGATTATTCATGTACCCTTATAGTAAAGTGTTACCCAAATTTGCTTCAGTCTAGTAAGTGTCATTTTGAATTATTACAAACAAGTTACTCTTGCGTTTAAAGCATAAAAATCACAGCATAAACAAGCTAAAGGTGGACGTTTGTACAATTATATTAAAATTCCTTTTACTTGCTAAAAACTATAAAATGTCAATCAGGCATGGAGTAGATAAACATGTTTATCAGCAAAATTGATAATGTTGATCATTTAAAGTGCCCCTATTATGGATTTTTGAAAATTACCTTTCATGCAGCACAGCTCTAAGTGAATGAAAACATCCTGCCAAGTTTTAAATCTGAAAGAGCACCGTGTATAAAGTTATTGTCTCTCAAAAGAAAGAGTCGACTCGTGGTGATTAATTAATCTAATTAATTGCATATTAACTGCACACCACATTCGGCTGAGAAATTACCCACAAAAGTAATTTCATTTAAAAATATGAGACAAAATTCATACAGCTGCATTTTTTGGCTCATCATCTTGATTTTTAGGGGCACATAACTGCATTTATGGACTACATGGTTGTTGCCCTGCATCATGTTTGTCAACAGTTAACCGTATGAAATATAAGATGACGTACAGGTCTGGGGCGGGACGGGTGCCTTAACTGTGCTAAAATACTGCAATTACGTTATTTTTCCATAACTAATTAAATTAACTCCTTAAACTGACTGCCCTAATATACGTATATATGTATGTATATATATATATATACAGTGGGTACGGAAAGTATTCAGACCCCCTTAAATTTTACTAGGTGGCGCTTTTGGAGCAGTAAAATAGCTGTACTATTTCCTCGGTAACGCTGAACACAAAGCAGCACTGCGCTCACAAACGCTGCTTTATCAGGCATTACATTTTAAAGAATGTGGGTAATGTGGAACCAGAACTGTTTGGTTACTGACATTCTTCAAAATATCTTCTTTTGAGTTTAACAGAAAGAAAAAAACAAATTTTTTGGGTGAACTATCCCTTTAAGAACTAAGTGTCAAATAATTTAATCAGTACTAAAATAAAATAAAAATGATTTCTCATATTTCTTAAATAATGCTAAACATTTTGACAGAAGTGAAACGCAGCCGTGTTTGATTGGTCAGGGCTCTGCTGAGGAGCAGCGTACGGTGTTGAGCTCCAACCTGAACACACACACACACACACACACACACAATAAACACAATGACTGCATACAAGAGCTCACAGAGGAGGAGGAACAGGCTCAATGTTTCTGGAGGAGCCAAAAACAAGAACAAGTACAAAGCAGTTCATAAAGAGGGTTTAAAAGTAAAGAAGATTAGAAGCAGCAGGAGTGCAACAAATACTTATAGACACAGAAAAACAACGAACATGCCGATTACAGCACTGCGGCTGGGGGACAAAAACCTGCCGTGGCCAAACAAACAACCAATAACACTTAAAGGAGTAGTTGGATTTAGGTAGGAGAAACTGATCCCAGCACAGTAGTTATGCTCAATAAAAAATAAAATAAAATAAATAGAAATTAAAATACAATAAATTTAAAAATAAATTAAAAGAAATATAAATAAAAGAAATAAACAAAAATAAATATAGTAACATAACATAAATAACAAATAGGCCTAGTGATGGTTAGAATGTGTACATCTTTTATTAAAAAAATAAAAATAATTAAAAATAAAATGAATTACGTTAAAATAAATTGAAATAAATATAAATAAACAAAACAAATATATACATAAATAATGATGGTTAGAATGTGTGCAATGCATAGTACATCTTTTATTAAAAAAAAATAAACCAATAAATCCATTGCATTAAAATAAATGTAAACAAATATAAAGAAATGAAACAATAAATATATACATAAATAATAATGGTTAGAATATGTGTACATCTTTTATTTATTTCAAAAGAGAGAAAAAAATCCAGTTTTCCATGACACTCCCTTAAGTTGTGTGTTTGTTTATATGGAAGATGCTGAGATCCACCCAACTTATGACTTATGGCAAGATTATAGCGTTAAATCAAGCACAGTTAGCAGAGGCCAGGAGCGACCTTAAGTAACCAGACTGAATTAATGTCTCCTGATATCTGTGTTTATGTTGGACAAACACAAACCGTATCAGAACAGCACACATGTAGTCTGCACACAGAGACACATGCCTCAACCAAACACACTAAACAGATGATGAGTATTTTCATTGAGTAACGGCACTGATCAACGAAATCAGAGCGCTGCACTCGCCATAACAGAAGCTCAGGCAGTTTTATGGTGTGTTCACACCAGGCGCAAATGTAATTATTCGCGGGAGTAGATTACATACAAAGTCAACGCAAAGACGCTTGCTGCGAACGTACGATATTCGCCTCAATCGCGTCTTCCGCGCAAGTTCAAAAATTTCAACTCGAGCGGAAAATTCGCATGACACGTTCTCGCGCAAGCCAATCAGCGAAGAGCTTCTTGACACGTCCAGTTGAATCAAACAATGGAAGAGAACATTATTGTAGCCGTCTGTTATTACAGTGTGAACACACCATTAAAGATGGAAAGAGAAAGAACAAGAATGACCCTGCGGTCATAAAGCTGGTCAGGAAATGAGACGAATGAGGTAAAAAGGAGCAGCACTCACATCCTCATCTAAGTTTGTCTGTTCCAGATCCACCACTTTAAACTGCACCCTCTTAAAGATCTCCTCCAGAGATTCACATGATTTATAATCCAGCTTCTCTCCTACAGAGGAAAACACAGAGAGAGAGAAAGAGACAGAGATATTATATTTAACCTTTGGACTGATACGGCTCTTTATATTTTTTTATTTGGTAAAAACACAAAGTCAAACGCACAGTGATGATTTTTCTGCTACTTTCTTATGTACAGTAAACTTGAATCATCTGATGGTGAGATCAGCTCGTCTATGGACACACACCCATTAACTACACACCAAACAAGAACACAAACCAGTCTTAACAGGTTGAACTCAACGGAGAACCTGCGCGTGTGTGTGTGTGTGTTCATGAGAGTGAATGAAACATTCCCATGACTTAAATGTTCCTAATTCATTAAATGTATATAATATACACAAAATTCAAAAGTTTGTGGTTGGTACAGTTTAAAATATATTATTATTTCGAAAAATATTATTACAATTTAAAATAGCTGTTTTCTATGTGAATATATTGTCAAATGTAATTTATTCCTGTGATGCGCAGCTGAATTTTCAGCATCATTATTCCAGTCTTCAGTGTCACATGAGCTTCAGAAATCATTCTAATATGCTGATTTGCTGCTCAATAGTGATGTCTGGTTCGCGAACGAATCGTTCGATTTAACCGGTTCTTCTTAGTGAACCGGTAGAACCAGTTCACCAAATCGGACTGAATTGTTTGAAATGGTTCGCGTCTCCAGTAAGCATTAATCCACAAATTACTCAAGTTATTCACTTTTTGAACGTGGCTGACACTCCCTCTGAGTCTAAATAAACCAATATCCCGGAGTAATTCATTTACTCAAACAGTACACTGACTGAACTGCTGTGAAGAGAGAACTGAAGATGAACACGAGCAGAGCAGCATGTGTGCAGCGAGCCGGATAACGAACGTACACGCCCACTGCTGGAGCGGTTCTCGTTCTCGAGTCAAGAACCGGTTGCATCGGTTTTCGGATCAATACACTGTGTGTGTGTGTGTTATAACATGTCTCCTGATTACCCCACACACTGAAACAAATGGACTATCTGCCAGTGTAAATGCTGAATTCATAGCTTTGAAAACTGTGTAAACACTATGATGTCTGTGCTGTGAAACACCGTTCTCTGTGAAAACACCTGTTCTCTGATCAGCCAAGAGTCGGAAGCATTCAGAGTCAGCAACCTGACATTTAACGCTGCCATGAGCTTTCTAACGTAACTTCAATGAGCCTTGTGTTTCTGCTGTTACACAAGAGTCCATCTTTACTCACCAATCACAGACTTCACCACTCGTACTGAGGAGGAGGAGGGAAATTGCATTCAAATGTTACATTTACATTTAGTCATTTAGCAGACGCTTTTATCCAATAAATAAAAAAAGAAGAAATATAGATAAAGTAGAATTAAAATAGAATAATGTTAGACTATAAATAATAAATGTTATTTTGCCCTCATGTTGCATTTCTCTCATTTTGACCCAGAGAGGATTTTAATGGATTTTAATGTTAATGTCATCTCATTGGACTCAAACGTACTGACACACAGGGTATAACTTCCCCAAAAATAAATGTAACATTTTTTTGATGATTTTTGTACTTTTTTTTTACCAACTTGTTACATTTGTAAAACTGCTGATACATTTCTTGTTATGCTATATCACCAAATATTGGCTTAAATCTTTTCATCGATTTGTTTTCTTTCAGTTAGCACAGGTTTTGCATTTCTTTTTGGAACTGACGGATCATAGGTTTCATTGATCTGAGCTTATGCACTGCAGCTTTTGAGAGAACATTAACAAAATTATCCACAAATAATGCTTAATTCACTCAAAAACCGAGGTGCATGAGCTCAGATCAATGAGGCCTTTGATCAATCAGCTCCAAAAAGAAATACAAAACCTTTGCTGATTGAAAGAATGAGTTGACAAAAAAATTGAATCCAAGATTTGGTGATAATATAGCAGAATGAGAGATTTACAAGCAATTTTTTTTTTCTTTTTTTTTTTAAAGGCTGGTCAATTTTGACCGAGAACACCAAATTATATAAAGGATTTTCCAAATGTTTTCAAATATACTCTGATGTACAGATTTTAAAGACAACAATAGATTTACAGTCAATAGGTTTTTAGTCTAACAACTGTTTTGTGGGTCTTTCTGTCACATGAGAGACAGGTAACTATAGCGAAAACATATCTATGGACAGAAATAAAGTCTTCAAGTTCTCAGAAACATCTGTGCCTTTTTCTATTTTTTTCTATTTCTATTCATATTGTCACATTTTGTCTGTTGATGTTGCATTTTTATGCTTTTAACAGACTACAAAAAAAACTAAAACTTTAGTTGGTTGCTTTATGTGTCAATCAAGCGTCTTGATTGGTTGTCAGTAAGATTTATTTTTAAGAACTGCACTCGACATTTATCTTAAGAAACTTCTTAAAAAGATTTTCAAAGACTGTTTTACCCAAAAGTAAAAAAATCTGTCAAATCAGCACAAGATTTAATTTTTTTTTTAAAGTTTTAAAAATGACTGATCTCCAGAAATATAACGAACCCAAAAACGCAATACAATCATTATAAAACATCAGACACCATTATTCCAGTAACATAATATATGAAAAATAAATAAATCTACTGTATCATTTGGCGGTGGGAACTGCACTAGGATATATATATA